AATGAGCCTCACGTCCTCACTTTAAGAATGTGGATGCATTGGAACCAATCCCTATAAATATATATATATATATACTAGATGGCTTTACGCCGTGCACACACGACGGTCTAACACCCGGTGTAAAAAAACCCATACGCACCTTTTATCTGTGACAAAAGATCAATACCTTGTTCCAAACATAACAGAATGAGCATCATGTCACGCAATACCATTACAAAATTTCAGAATGCAATTATATTGACAGCATCCAACAAAAACGAATCAAAGTAACAAGCCCAAACACTAAAACTTGAGGCCACATTGCATCAAACACCTAGTTAGCATCTCTAACGTCTTCCATAAATTAAAAATCCTCAACTCAAACAACAAGAGTTACCTCCCGATAGAGGCCATGCTGCTCCAGGGGAAACTTGTCAATCGGTTTGGGTTCGACCTTGTCCCCACGGCCCCTCGTCCACCCTCCAATAGATCTATGTCGTTTGCGGGGCCTGAATCTGCCACCTTACTTTGTCTCTTCAAGCCAATAGGTACTATTCCTCACAGTCAGAGGCACAAAACCTCAGTTTTGAAAAACAAAAATCCTTTTAGCTATTTGTGTGAGTATTACAATATTTTATTTCATTTTTTATAATTCGAATATCTTTTTCCCGATTAGCATAACAAAATCATGGTAGAACCTCACCGAGGATACACAAAACCTCAATTTTACGTTGTTGTGGACTATAACTCGGCTCGCCCGCCACAGAAACGCTCATATTATGACAATTGGCTCAAGCAGCGCAATAAACAATAAGGAATGAGGCACTGCGAAATGACAAATCCAGACAAGAGATATTTTCATTAGTAAGTCGCTATAGGTTAACATTATAAGATGCTTTAAAACACCTTCGACAAGCAAAAAACTTACTTAAATGACAATTAATGACTATCATCTTCAAAAGGCAAAAATAATTTTATCAATTGTAATGCATGATACCAAGTCGGGGGAAGAAATATCAGTACAACCAGCTCACTTGTGAGCTAACTGAACTTATAGAGGCAAATGAGTAGTTGTGGCTGGGAACATCAATAAAAAATCGGCTGAAATTAAAAATCACCATAACCATTTGCTTTTAGTAGCCAGGACATCAATCAAAATCAAAGTGAACTATCAATATCAATAACTCATAAACAAATTACCATGTCAACTTTTAATTTTTTCTACAAAAAAAAAAGATCTTAAGCTCAAAACTCAAACAACACTTTCTGCCATGAACTCTCTATATTCATATCAGTATAAACATGTAACATACACTCACACAACGCACAAGGATAAATCTATCTGCCAAGTTCCAACTTTCTTTGTTCTCTTTAAGGACAAAGCCAATAATAATAATAATAATAAAAATTAAATATAAGTTTGCAGCTAACTTGGCTTATAGTAGCATCTCTTAAAACATAATATAAATATGATTCCTAATTTCACGTGTAAGAAAACATTTCTCATTTTATCCTTCTTGTATGTGAACATATATAAATTGGTTGCTAATGCTTACAGAATAACCAAGAGCATGAGAAGCCAAAACAATCTCCTTGGAAGCACATTTCTTAAAAGAATTGAGGCATCTGTATAGGAAAGTTGCAAAACTAAAACCAAAGAAAAAAAAAAATCATTTCAAAGTCGATCAATTCGTGTTGACTTAGAATTAATCGATTCTTCATTTTTTTAATTAAAGAACACTTACCTAAGAAAACTCTTGGTTTTTTTCACCTCTATGTAGAATATAAGGCTCCGGCGGCATCTGTAACTGGCGACATCCATAATCATGACCAAGATGCGGCCAGATGAAACTGAAAATAAAAAAAGATAAGATCAGAAAAAAACAAAGAAACAAAAACAAACGCATACCGCTCAATGAAGTCTCTGATGTCATCGTTGTAGCCACGAAACTACCAGAATTTGGTCGCCTTTGTTGAGTAAAGAAAATGCCCAAGTGAAACACTTGTCAGAAAAATACTTATCAGAACAAAAAAACTCAAATCAATTTCTCATGATCAACACAACCCCAAGAAATCCCCTAAATTCTTTCAAAATCAACTGGTGCTTAAATTTTCAAAGCTCCAAAATTATCAAGATTTCAATACAAGTCTTAGTGTTATAGAGCCAAAGGGAAACATGAAAATTGCAAAATCAAAGGGTGTGATACAAAAACTATATCAAAACAAACTACACGATGCAAAAATTACAA